TCCACCTCATCCTTTTTATCGATGAGTTTTTTCTAAACTGCCTTGTTTCCATTAAGCTAATTCATTTCTGAAATGTAAAGTTGTTCAGTTTTATGGTTAATGGAACCACAGCCACCGTCTCACCCTAAAGGTCAGTAACTGCTGCTCCGTCAGGCTCGGCCCAAGCCGTTTCTGGAGATTTCCTCTAACAGGGATCATTAAAAATGCCAATAGTGTCCTAATCAACATAAAGTCATTCCACTATATGCATGCAGCTGAGTATTGATGCAGTAGGGGATTTTTGCCTTTGGAAATATCCGGGACATAAGATCAATGGGCCGATTCAAGAGCCCACTCCTACATTAGAGCTCGCCTCCCTTTAATTATCTCCAATGCAGATGGCCTAACGAGAGGAAGGACTCCTAATTGAGAGCATGGAGGAGGGGCTGATGAACCTCAGGGAAACTTGAAGGCAGCACATCTTGGCTGGCCAAGGCCAGATCCTCTCCTCTGTACTGGCAGCTAGTCGCCCATCAGCGCAGAGCCAAAGCACAACCAGGGAGACTCAGTGAGGCTGAGAGGGAGAAGCGGGGAGGATTTTCCTCTGGTACCATCATAATGCACCATATGCTTCATTTTAATGAGGAAGCTTCTTCATTTACACTTTTCTTGTATATTTAGTAAAAAACAGCATGAAACTTTAAACTTAATATGAGTAAATACTGTGAATTGTTGTGAAATGTGAACAGATTTTTCTAAAAACGTTCTTGACCAAATGTGTTGGTATCAGTTTGGGGGCCAATGCTTTTCAAAGACACTCTGTTAAGTTTTTCTATCAAATATGCTATTTAGATCATTTATAATTCAAAGTCAAACTGTGATGTTCAATGATTCTAACAACATAATTAAAGGTGTTTTTAACCTTGCTGCAGTTTATAATGTTAAAGCTGAAGCTGTACAAAAAGGAAACCAACTGAATGAACAGACAGACTCATATTTTACAGTTTAATTTCATTTTTTCTGTTTGCTCATTCAGTGCAGAGTCTCAGGGTGTTCAGATATTGTTACAGGTGTCCACATGTGAACAAGAAGACTTTTCAAAAACTCAGGTTTAATATAAACATCTCATTCACACAAAACCAAGAGCCGCAGCATCTATATGTGTACATCTGTGCATTAATTATCTTCTGTTCATTACAGATGAGGTGTAACAGATATATGGTTAATGGAAACACAGAATTAAATTCCAATTAAATTAATTGGAATTTCATTTCAAATTCCACTTAAAAATGGAATTTATAAAAAAATAATTTATCCAGAGGCTTTTTTGAAACACCAGGACATCTTCACTGGTTAATTTCATTTTATTTTTCAAATTAAAACAGTAAAACTGCTAAACAGCTGAAGAAGCAGTAAGCTCGGACGTTACACGGCTCCGACTGTGTCTCTGGAGATGAAAATGAAATAATAACCCAGATAACGGCTCAGAAAATGTTCTGTACACGTTGACCTTTGAAGTGGAAATGGCACGTCTGAATCCATTCCTCTCACCATTTGACTCTTGAGCGACAGAGTTTTATCTTTAACGTTTTACAGAACCTCCTCCATGTTTTTAACTCTAAACCGACACGCCTCAGTGAAAAATAGAGCAAACTGGGGACCAGTTGGAAATCTGTCGCTGACTTCCTGTCACTTCGGTTCTCTCAGATGCAACAACATTTTAATTAAAGCAGAACCGTCGATGCTTAATTAACACCTACTTGCTGTTCTTAGCATGAATTTTCACAGATTTCTCCCCTCAGAAAAAAAAAATCAAATTGAATGAATAAAAAGCACGCTGTGACCAATTAAACCAACTGGTTCATACTGGAAGAGTTTCCATCCCCGGACTGGAGGCTCCAATCAACAGACATTCAGTGAGCAGCAAAAACCCTGCCGGGATAAATTCTGCTGTTTGAATGAAATATGTCGTTTATTTGTTCTCTTATCAGATTACTGAGGTAAATATGTTCTCACTGTGAACAGGATGTTTTTGACAAAAACTGTCAGAGGAAAATAAAGGGAAGATCTGTCACAGTACAGAAGAAAATGTTTCTTCACATTTTCCACATTTTGAATGAGCAGAACAGCAATAATATAAAATGTGGCTGGAAAATGGCTTCCAAAGAGAAGAAATTAAAAAAAAGATCTATTCGGAAATTCAGCATAAATTTATCTTTTTATTTCAACAAAAATGCATATTCTCACTGTCTACTGCCTCTTCGTGTTCAACATTTACAAATTCACCTACTTGTGGATTTTTCTGGGACATAATTTCAAATTATTCACAGAAAATTCTCCCATTCCTGAATTTGTTTTTTATTGTTTTGTAGCTCGAATCTAAAACATCCAAACCAAAATGCAGCTTCAACTTGACACGATCAGCAACCGTTTGCCAAGCAGCCAATCAAGACGAGCCATGAAATTTCCTTGGCACTGATTGGCTGTAGTTCAAAAGTTATTAGGTTCTAATGTTGTCAAAACTATTTCCACTGTGCATATTAATGATTTAATAACAGCCTATTTACAGCCTTGAATTACTGGTGAAATGGCTGACAGATGTTTTTCTGATAAACAAGCCGGTGAGCAACAGACTGTTTAAAAGTTAAAGCTAAATGTTTTAGTATCTTTGATTTAAACCAAATAAAAGTGTTTTTTACTGTTTTTGAGAAGGAATCGTGTTTCTGTAAATGTTTTCACTGAGGAATTTTTAAATTAATTTAACTGTTTGTGTTTTTGCTGTGGATGTCTCGTAACTTCGAGCCGCTCTGAGTCTTGGCCAGGATGTGAAATACATTTTTAAACTCAATGGGACTTTAATGGTGACAAAAAGGTTAAATAAAAAAAAATAATAATAAAGAAATTTCAAGTAGTGAAATTCTTCACTTGCCCGTCTGAACCAGGTGAAGACGAAACAAGTCTTTAATTGTACTTAAATAATGTTTCACAATAAAACTTTAAAAATTTGGCTTTGTTGTCATAAATTAGTTCGTTACAAATGAAGTTTTCTACAATATTTCTCATGTCTTCTTCTCCTTGCTCTTTGTTCGTTTCATCTTCCTGTTCTTGGTTTCGTCCATCCATAGCAGTTTCTGTAGCCTGATGGTGAAACTCCGACCTTCCCTGATCCGCATCAGCCAAGGAATCATTAAAGAGTGGTGTTAATGTAGTTTCATGGTTTACACTAAACCCTGAACGTTCAGTCATATTTCTCCAGTTTTATGGGCCGAACTCCACGCAGGGATTTTGGTGTAATTGAAACACGGCTAAAATGAAAGTTGGAGGGTGTGGAAGCACTCCAGCTGATGGAAAAGCCATAAAGACATGGAGGCAGCAGATGATCTCTGGGCCTTGGCATGCTGATTAAGTTTATGTTTGGCCCGCTCTGATTGTGCCTTTTCTCTGTCTCAGCAATATTCAAGACATATTCCCCTTTGAAGCCCTTATCTCCTCGGACATCAAAGGTTTCCTCTAAACAGAGTGAGCCTCCGCCTACTTCCACTCGCCACTTAAAGGAGGCTTTTGTTGTGAGTGTGTGTGTGTCTCTGCACACACACACACACACACACACACACTCTTATGGCATCTGTGTTTCTGTTTCAGAAAAATCAGACTTTTACTTTCAGATGTCAGAGCCCTAGGGGATTCTTTGAACATTCCCATCGTTTGCAAACCTCTGATTTTCGGCATCAGAAGATGTGTGAGAATTGTTTACAGCGTAGCTGCAAGTGGATAATCAAATGTCCTCGAGATCAGACACACAGAAGCAGCTTCTTCATTAGCTGGACTGTCTAAGAGATGCGTAACGTAACACCAGTTAAACACTGGAACAGAGAATCACGACTTTTACATCTTTGCCATCACATCTGATAACAGAAGCTAACTATGGCTAGTTATCGGTTGGGAAAGGACCTGGCTTTAATCTGCAGTTTGATGAAAACACTTGTTGTGTTTCCATTAAATACACCGTCTCCAGAGAAACGCACATTTTTCAACAGAAAGTTGTTGGTCTAGGATCAGGTGGTTTGGGTTTTCAGCTATATCGAAATTAATTAATTTGGCAAAACTGCAAAGGAAAGACTTTTTTTTTTTGCATCACAAAAAAATTTACTACTGGCAAAAATGACAAAGGAGACAACAGGAAGTGGCTGGATGATGGTTTGTTTTTCTTTTTTTCATACAATGTGCAGCTGAACTCCCACAGTTCATAAAAAGCTGCTGAATCCATCGCACTGACTCCAACTACAATCCCCCCAAACGCTGCATATGCAGCTGCTTCCCAGCATTAAAGGTTTGTTGCTCCAACGCCTGAGTAAGATGGCGACGTCTCCTCTGATTGGCTGATAGATGGAGAGCACTGAATTATGAGTATACCTCATGTAAAGGTTACATCCGTCGCTGCCATTATTTTTAATGACTGTGTGAACAAGCTTATTCACGTGTGATTTTAATTTCTTTTCTTATTTAACAGAAACACCACCACCACCGTGTAATCGGGTTTTTCTCGTCATCAGTAGAACATGGACAAAGACTTGAGCACATTTAAAGTGGAAACGCAGCGATTGTCACAGAATGATTGCTTGGTCTTCTCATGCCTGAGTGGGTTTTCTCCAGATGCTCCAGTTTCCTCCCTCAGTCACATAAAATATGTGTGTTTACTAATTGGAGCAGTCTAATTTGTCACATCAGTTCCAGCTAAATTGATCTCATGGGAATACATAAAAATAGGATGTCAAATGGAGGACAGTTTTGCATATAATAAAACTTATTCTGTTGTCATTTATGGTGGTAGAAGAAAACTGAACATCTGGGTTAAAAGAAAGATACAAGGCAGAGAGAGGCAGTTTGAAATGTGAAACAAATTTCAAAATAAACAGAAATATGAGAGGTAGGTGGGGATTCCTTCAATTTTATATCTTCTGTTTGCTTACTTTCCAGAGTCATTGCGACATTTTATATGCTACATATGTGAAACATAGCTTAAAAAAAATTACATTTTGCAATTTGACACCTTGGAATTGGGCATCTGTCTCTTTGAGAAGCTCCTGCTCCTTCATTTACAACCATTTTTAAGACTGTTGGACTGAGACGTAGTTTGTATAACGAGCTTAGATGTGTTGTTCCACCAGATGTTTGCTAACTGCTGCTGCCACTAGTCTGTAGGAGCTGAGTGGGGCAGAAGCTCGGCTGACGCTCACCGGAGCAGCTTTGGGTAAAAATGCAGGGCTTTGGGAGAGCTTGAAACAAGCAAAGCAAAACTCCAGGTGTGTTTCTGATGAGAGAATAAGATTAGAACATGGTTTAAAAGTTCTAATCTTATTACATAATAATAATTTAGATAATAATCTAATTTTACATAATACTCTGCTTTAAGCTGTTTAAGATTTACTGAAATTACAAACGGAGAGAACATTGTCATCAGAAGCAACTCAGGAGGTGATCATTTAGAAATTATTTAATTCTATACAAAAAGTGAATATCCTGATAGATACATTTAATGCAATAATAGGTTTCCATCAGGATCACAGAGGGTGAAAACTTGTTACATAACGTCAATAAAAAGGATTTAAAAACAGAAATGTCACCTGCTGAAACGTAAGCTCATATACTGAACAGTAAATGCCTTTAATATTCAGTCTGGAGTGATTTCTCATGAATTACTGCAGGAGTGTGACGTGACGCGGATCAGCTGAAGCAGCTTCATTCTGGCCTTCAGCTTGTCTGCACTGTTGCTTCTGCTGCCGTTTGTTTTCCTGCTGGAGAACGAGATCCTCTCCGCCGTAAAGCTTTTCCGCACAGTGAAGAACGAAGCTCTAAACTTTCCAGCTAAATGTTCGAATGCTAGACGACACGGCTGCCTAAACCATCCCTGAATGTTTCAGATCCTCGCCTGGATTCCAGTCCAGATAAAATCCAAAATTTAATTCCAGCTAAAAGAAAAACAAATGTTGAAACAGTTGTTTTTCTTCTAAGCTCAGGTGGGTTGCCTTAAATGAGATGCTTGCCCCGTTTTTTCCTTCCACTAAGTTTTTCACCTGGGATACGCCTTTCTGTGAATATTTGTATTTGCTCTACAATAAATGACCACAACTTACAGTAGGAAGCCATTTCTAAAAAAAAAAAAAAAAATTATTAGAAATAAATGCCTCACCTTGTAGAGTGAATCACTTTTTGGCAGTAAATCCTGGAATTAAATAAACTTTCTATTTATTTTTCACACACAGTGTCTTCCATACAGAAAATATTGAGTCATAGTGAAACAGTTCAAACTTCTGCAATAGTTTTCTAAATATAGTAAGTTATGTATTCCTTCTGACTTGTTTTAAGAAACGGTTGATATTTATGTTTTATGCAATAGAAAATAAAAATCCCCGTCTGGACGACCCGTTTGGTTAAGTCTGCCTGTTCTCCCACATGCAGCCGCAGAGCAGCTGCTGCCTGAGTAACCAGCTGAGCGCTGGAAGGAGGAAACAGCCCTGCGAACATCTCATGATGATTCCCATAAACAGAAATGAGTCAGGCGTTTTATTTCACAACATGAGGCCTGAACTGTGGTCAGAACCTCCCACGGTCCGGTCCGGTCCGGTCCGGTGACTGCGGTGACGTCGGTGTGACCTTTGATAAGAATCCTCCAGTTTTTAGTTTCTGAATGAGTTTTCAGATCATTCAGTGAGATGCACTGTAAACTGTAACGTTGTAAAAAAACAAGTTAATATAACTAACCACCCAGTTAAACTAAGTCTAGTGAACTTTAGGTGTATAGTGAATTAAACATAAATTAATTAAGTTTGACTTAATTCAGTTACATGTAACAAATTAACTGAATGTTTTAAGTTGGAGCTTCGTTAGATATTTTTGGGCACATTTTTACATTTACATACATAAAAATGCAGCATAATTGAGTTGGATGTTCATTTTCATGCTTTTTGTTTTACTGAAAAATATGAGCAAATGATCTCTGCTTTCTGTAGTTTCTGTCAGAGTTTGAGCAGAAAAACAAATAAAACTGTTTCAAACGAGTCATTTTCTTTTTATATAAAGTATTTTAAAGTTAAAAAAGTGTCTTCAGAAATGTTTGTGGTTTATTTACATAAGTAAACTCAGTTTTGTCTTCTGTTTCAGTACAGCACACTCAGATTTATTAAGTTGTGAAGTTAATGTTACTTAAGCGGTTAATTTAATGAAAAGTAAAAATGTTGAGGTGTTTATTTTTTAAGTAAGGAGAACTAAGTAGGTTTTACAGTGTGTTACAGCAACGGTTGTTTTTATTTAAAAAAAATACTAAGTTACTTTTACTTTTAAATTTCGTATTTTTGTTTAATTCTGGTGTTTCATGAAAAATAAAGCCTTAGAACAAACCGATTAAAATCCTCCTCAGAGTTTAAAACAGATTAAAAGATCAGTAAATAAAATGCTCTCTGCTTGTCGCTCTCCTCTCAGCGTCCAGTCGCCATCCATCATCTGCCCATCTGTTGGCACTGATGGCCTCCCGTATTGCGGTACGCATGCAGCAGATTTCCTCGTCCTGTATGCGCCCACCCTGTGGCGTTAACATTAACGTCTCACTTCCTGTCTGCGCCGGCAGAGCAGCGCTGCATCGCTCTCCAATTAGCCTTCAGAAAGCGGAGCCAACACCTCCTTCCATTAAACTCACAGGCAAAACCCAACCATCTCCTGATTAAAGGGGAGAAATAATGAAGCAATCAACACCCTGTTTGGATGAAAGACTTTATTAAAAGTTTAATAAAATCCTGTGATCACAGATTGCATTAAAAGGATTTTATTTCTTTTTATAATTAGGCGTAGCAGTGTGAAAGTTCTGAAGCGTTTATTTTTTCTTTCATTTTTAGTGAACTGCTTCTGCCAGTGTTGGGGAAAAAAACAAAAACATGACAGGTTAAAGAGAAGCTAAAAATAAAGCTTAGTTTACCAAACTAAATGCCATTTTTACACTTTTTACCACAATAACAGGTATTACTTGGTTCATTTAACATTATTTTAATGTTTTACCACTAAAGAGAAGCATTTTAAACCCTTTACAGATTCTTTGATACTTTGAACACTGTCCGACTTCAGGGTCGGCATCCATCGACGGCCAGAAGAGCGTAACTCATGTTGCCTAGCAACCGTGACGGCGTGAAGCTCAGTGCGGCGAAGGGAAAAAACTGAGCTCGAAGTTTGTTTTTACTCCTGATGTCTGTTCACATGACCTTAAAAGCAGAACTGGTTTTTGTTTTGTCATTTATTGGTTTGTGTTTATTCTCCATGTTACTGTCTCAAGTATGACCTGAATGTCTAAATATGGTATTACATTTTTGAGTTATAAATCAGAAATAAGTCATTAAAAAAAGTCTTCTTCCACTGCCAGATGATTTTACTTATAAGATGGAAAAATAATTATTATAAGTTAATATGCCAGGGCAACTAGTACATTTTCATCAATATTAAGGGATTATGAGCTCTGATATCTCGCTGAAAGTTAATTTTGTCTAAATTCAAACTTGATATGTGGTCAGGTTTTGTGTTTTTGCAGTGCAGCTTCGGTTTATTCACATTTTCCCCAACATGTGCAACCATCTGACAGCTGCTGGGTGTTTTTCTATTTCTACTGAAGACTGCGGTCAGGAAGGAGTTAAACTGAGCAAACTCCAACATTTCTGTGGCGAGAATTAAAGGTTACGAAATTCATGTAACATTGGAAAATATATAAGTGAGTCAGAAACGACTTCATGGACGGTAAGTCACCAGAAACCTCCTGGCAGAAGTTTTATTCCCGGTTAAACCCTGCAGAGGAATCCGGCGCCCGGCTCTGTTCTCCTACCTGAAGGCTTCGCCAAGACAGTCTGGCAGATTTTTAAAATGATTAACTATAAAACTGGTGACATGTTAATGAAAAATGGAAAAAAGTGTTGATGAAATAATGTGTTAGCGTATTAATCTTAGTTTTTGCTCTGCTTTTTTAAAAACGTTTCTCCTCTTAGTTTCTCAGCGGTTTTGTGAGCTTCACAAATGCATAAAGCATTTTTTTCCAAATGTTTTTATTTATTTTTGATGACTGGAGTGAATTTGATGGATTTTTAGCAAAGAAAATTGAAGTCCTTCTGCTGTAACTGATGATTGAGTTTCTTGCTGTTTTTTTGTTTTTTTGTGTGTGTCCCTTGCCACGCTGGCTTTTCACATTTAAAAACACTTACACACACACACACACCTTGATATTCCTCGCTGCTCCCAATCTAATTTCTGCAGATGTGGTGACCCATGAAATGATGCCAAGTCAATCTCTTTTCCCCAGCAGTATGTAAAAGCTGCAGATTGCCTCATTCAGCCTCAGATATTAACCCTTGGGCCGGCTCCTAACGCGGCCGCGTCGCGGCTACAATGCCCCCGACCGAGCTGAGAACAGCCGCTCAAGTGTGTGCTTTGAAGTTGGAGAAGTTTGCTGCCAGGTGTGTGTGTGTGTGTGTGTGTGTTTCACCTTGGAAAAAACAGGTGGCTGAGTGTGTGAGGGAATGAGTGTGTCACAATGGGTTTGCTTTAAAGATAAATACTGCACCGAGGAAGAGATAATCCACCGCAGAGCTCTCACTCAGACAACTACAGGAGAAACTTTGTTAATGTTATCTTCTTCTTCTTCTGTGGGGGAAAAAGAGAAAAGTGCAGCTTTTCATTAGCGAACCAACCAGGCGACTGTCTCTGAGGTGAAGGGATTACAGGACGGAGAGATCCGGCTTGTTTAAACGCAGGTTTCTGAAATCTGCAGATGTTTTCTCAGAACAATGTCAAGAAGTCATTTCCAGGGAAACGTTGGTGTTACGAAATGTCAAAATAATTCATCTTAGACCTTAAACAATGCCTGCAATTATCCGCAGCAATATGTAAACGCATTAGCGGTTAGGCTGCACATTAACCAGCTGGTGCTAACATGACTGAGAGCTTTACTTTGACTGTGGAGTTGGAAAAGGTAATTATGGTTTATTATCAGTACTTTGCTGCTCATCCTTGCCCTGTTGTGGAGTAATATTATAAAACCAAAAAGTCATTGCTCTTTATT